TGTGACATAACAAATGAAAGAAACGGTAGAACTGTTTCTATTTGATTTAAAAGGTTATTATTAATATTTTAGGCACACACAACTTATTAAATGTTTGAAGTACTGTTTAATGTATAATAATTATGCTAAGCATAAATGAAGATACATGAACAGTTACTATACATACTGTAGTACAATTACTCCTTGTAACCCCCATAACATTGACATAAGATTTAACGCCCCGACCTCAAGGTCAAAATGCCTAACATCATCTGTCTGCGAAAGTGTTGTACCAGATACCATGAAGTAGCTTAAGGCTCTGGGGAAGGATTTATGAAACCTGTTTGATAAAAAAAAAAATCATCGTAAACTTGGCTCAGACCCATGAAATTGCTCAAATCAGACTTATCAACCATACCACACCAAAAAAAAAAAAAAAAATTGTCTTTTCAAAAAGATAAGAAAATACCTTGCTTAAGATAAAAAAATTTTGACTTATTTAATGGAATTCATGGTAGATAAATGACATTCGTAAGTGAGAAAGGCTCACAACAGCAGAGTAAGGTAAAGGCTACTTGAATGGAGTCGCAGCCCTTCACCTTTAGCAAAGGGGCCAATGTGCACTCTTTACAAGCAAGCAATAGAATCCGAGAGGGCGTGCTCATGCTATCTGTTACTGTGAACATGCACAAGTTTTGTTCACTATAACATATTATTATATTGTATTTTCTTCTCTACTGGTTTAACGTGGGAACGTTTGGCAGAGTGGTTGTACTTCTCAAGGTTTTTAAAATCCCTTACTGTGCATTTCCCCTGTGTCCTTGGGCAAGGCACTTTACATACATTTGCCTCCCTCTACCCAGTAGCACAATTTGGGTACGTAGCAGGATGCTGTGACATTGAACGTATTAGTTTTGTATGTTATGTACGGTCACACGAGTAAGGAATACCCCAGGGAGCAGAGACTGTTGCATTTTGTGTCTGTTTACCAATGATATCTGATAAACAGGGGTAATGACATTGCCTTTGATCATTGTTTAGTTTGAAACTTAATGCCCACAGAAATGTAAGATATTATTATCACTAATTAATATTAGCTAATAAAATAGGAATGTATTTACTAGAATGTGTGAGTGTAAATTATGATTGGTTAATTAACAATCTAATAAAAATGTCATAAATAAACTAAATTCAGGGGAATTTACATTCACTACTTAAAAGAACAAATTATGAGACGATAATCTAATTAAAATCACAGGAAATAAAATTGTTACTGGAATATTTACGTTTCAGGACACTTCAAACCAATGTCACCTGATTGATGCACCTGTGACAAGATAAAATAATCCTCCAGAAGGAAGTCACGATTCCGGTTAGACTATACACGGACGTATAGCCCGCCTACAGAAATATATTTCTTAGAAAGTATTACAAAATATTATATAGTACTTTAATGGATCATACAACCACAAAATATTCTCTAGCTGATTATTACAAGCAGGGGCAGATAGAGTTTTTGAAATAAGGGTATTTAATTTTCCTAATGCTAAGAGACAAAAATAAAAGGAAAAGTGGAGGGGGTTGTTGACCCTTCTCAGAAAATTATGCTTTATATACAACCAGAAATAAGCTTCTCTTGCTTCTAAGTGTAATAAATTTAACATTCTACTGAATTTAGGCAGTTTTCCTATTAATTTACTGTGACAATACAGTATATTTTATTCCATAAGTAAAATATATATAAAAATATTTAAAAATAAATAAATAAAAAAGAAAATGCAGAAAAGTCTGGAAAGGTGGAAATAGCACCGCGATCAGCTCTCTGAGTAGGATATGCACACCTTACAAAATGGCATAATTATTATCATTAATAATCTTTTGGATAGGGCTAATCAAACACACAAATCCTAATGTACCTAATATATAACAGTGCAGTGTTTTTCCATACAGTAATTAAGTAATTATTATTACATATGGAATATCTAAAACCCCCAAGTAGAATCACTAACAAGTCATCACATGATTTCGACAGACAATTTTACAAAAAATATGTTTAACCACAGAAAGCTCACATGGTAATACTTCATCGTTTGTTTTATTAGAAGATTTCCACAATAATTTACCACAGTGGGTCATGGTCTTAACAATAGTGATCTATACTATCTGCAAATAGTGACATATTATTTTTTCTGAATATATTTAAAAAATCAATTTTTTTTTTGCTTTCATCACTGATGTTGCTTTTGGCATTCTATACTTCACAGGCTGGAAAGCAGAGCAATTGGCTATCAAATTATTTCAGAAGTGTAAATAAATACAAACCATGAGCAAAGGATACAAGAGTAGAAAGAGTTGATGGCGCTTAGAGCCGACAGCTGCTGTCCCTGTGCTAAGCTGTACGAGTTCACCAACTTATAATGAGAATGACTTTGATACCTAAAAAATAGGGAAAAAACACAAAGTTTACACTTTTTCTTTCATTTCATCAAATTACATAATTGACGACTAATCAATCAAATCAAATAAATCCTCTGTGAAAGATTTTGGGGCTTTATTTTATTATTTTTGTTTTAAAAAATAGGTCTTAGTGTAAACAATGTCAAAAATGAGGTCTCAAATGGAGTTAAATCATAACTACCAACCACTCAGGAGCTTTTTGCATCCTGTCATTGGCTAGACTACTAGAATTTAATATAATCTTGAGATACACAACAGAAATAATTTAATTTTTTGTAGAGCCTGATGTTTATTACAAATATTTTCTTTATAATAATTATTAATTATTATAATGATGTATAAAAATAGCAATAACATTATAACAATATACTCAAATGCCCCTTAATAATAATATACTATTATAATAATATACTATTATAATAATATACTATTATAATAATGTACTCAAACGCCCCTTAATTTAACAGTATATGTGGAACTACAACACATATTTATCGTCAAAATGTGACTTTGTGATAATGAAGACTTCATTCAAGGGGAATTTAATCCAAATAAGGCTCTATAGGGGCATTTATTCAAATAATAGGCTACCGAAGCTAGTACCAAAAACATTTCTTATAAGATCCATTACAACATATAGGAGAAAACAAGTATCCAGCCAGAAGAAATTTATATATAAAATAGAAGCAGTTAGGGCATCACTTCTGGCTTTAAATCCCAACTGCAAGTCGCAAGTCGCTTATGCCCTTGGGCAAGGCACTCTATCTACGTTTGCCTCTCTGTACCCTAGAGCATAGTATAAATGGGTACCAGGTAGAATGTTATGGTATTAATAGTACTAGTTTTGTGCGATGAGTATGCACACACAACTAGGTATACTCCCCAGGGAACAGAGGTTGCACTTTGTGTTGGTTTGTTATTGCATGTTACCCAGTGACCAGGGTTAATAATACTTAGCGCCTTTCATCATTGATATGGAATTGGCACTACAAAAATCTTTGGCATTATAATAAACATAATGATAATGAAAATACTGATGTTATTAATAGAAGTAATAATAAACTGCTAGTTAGAATATAGGACTCTACACAATACAATATCAAATGAAATGCACATGCATGATCATAATAAATGCAGGTATGGCTTATGTCTGTTTTTAAATTATAAATAAAACATTTCCTCATTTCTATACACTAGAGCATCGAACAGCAAACACAACTTTAAAAAAGTATGCTTATAAAAAATGTACATTAAACTGCCAAAAAAATTAACAATCATTTCAATCATCGAAAAGCATTATAACATGTTAAAATTTAATATTCTTAAAATGTAACTTTGAATAACAGGAAGGCAAGTCCTCCCATACCCATTAACATCAGTTTACGGGTGACAAACGCGTTCTAGAGCGAATCACATAAATGCTATAGAGACATCGTGGCAAGCATGGATTTAGAATGAGGAAACGCTACGAACAAACAAACAGGAGATGTACCTCTACATGCCAGACAGCATGAAACATAAAATTGATAAACAATATTTAAGGAGAAGGAGAGGTTAAAAAGAGGAGAGAAAAGACAGTGGGTGTATAATGGCAAGACAAATATGTTGCCTTTGGTTGTTTATTAGTTTCAAAGAAACTTACAAACAGTATTACTGTAGTTTCAAATGTTTATTCTAATGTATTAAAGAAATAATATTATATAGTAAATCAACTAAAGACTAAATGAAATTCTTCCAAGAACTATTACCGTTGTAATTCATTTGCACATATTTTGTTTTTATAATCATAATTTGTTTTTTAATGTTACAAGCATTTTTTTCTTCCAAATTCATCATTTTGTCTTTTAATGTCATTTATACAAGATGCAAGGGAGGTACAGGATGTAAAATGTTTGACATATTTGAATTATTTTATTGTATTATTTATATTGTTTATAATTTATACACACATTATATGCACAAACACACATAAATAAATGTGACATAAAACTGTGTTATAATGTAAGGATATAGATAATATAACTGTCATTACCTGAACATTTTTAGCGTGCCCACTTTAATATATCCTTTTTCATATTAGTATTCATAAAATACTGTACAATTTTTTTTATTTCCTGAAAGTAAGAATTATCAGCTATAACCAGGTGGTTCAGTTACAGGTACCTGGTGCTAATTTGCAAAATTTGTAACATATATTCACATTGCATGTTTCAATTTATATAAACAAACAACAAACTTTATATCATTTTAACAAATTGGTACCATTCCCACAGAACCTCCCTAAAGTGTTCATTTAAGTTCGATCAAATTGAATTTACATTGATAGCAGACAGTTAAGTGTCAGGAGAACAAACTGCTAATATTACCAATAATATCTAAGGAAATGGCAGTTCCGATCAATTATGACAAAGTAGCTGGACACAATTAACCCTGTCAATCAATTTATTACAGTAACCATACTGATCTTACTCATTCTCTGATTGGCTGAAAGTTACTGGATACATGAAATGTTGTTTTCAACATTCTTAATCTTGATTTATACAGTGTGACAGCAGTACATTAAAAAATTGCCAAGAGTACAGAGTGGTAAAACAGAGAAACCATTCAAAATCAGATTTCATGAACATAAGAAAAACGTGTCTGTGCTAACCGGTTACCCGGTACTAGCAACTCTCATCGTCCACCACAGGGGCTGTCTGTACCAATACACTGGGGTATCCCCCTACTCGTCGTGAATGATGTACTGGGTTCTTTAAAGTGCATGCAAGCCATTGTAAACACTAGGCCTACGGTTTCTAGTCCTTATCCGAGAAGACTTGTTCTACCACCAGAACCATAGACGAGCGTGCTGTTCGCACTAGCGCCGATATTATGGCTGTAGGTTGCAGCGCCCCTGCTAACCTCTCTGCCATTCGACTCGCAATGATGGGCAATTCCAATTAATTATTTTTATGCTGGGAGGTAAAAAAATCAAATTTCTATGAAATTGACCTTATCCTTTGACAATTTATTCCCCGAAAACTTAATCACCTCTTTCTTCAAATATTATGTGGATACAACCTCCTTTGGCGGACGTAAATATCTTCTAGAAAGTTTACATCAGCTATCACAGACCACATGAACAATCACAATCCTTTACCATAAGATTTTGTAACAAAAAATAAATATATGGATACAAAAAACTAAGGAAAAAATGAAGACACTACGGACAAAGTGGCATTTTGTTACCTTGAATCAATTTCTATTTCCAAAAACCATCACGCAACAATAAATATTTTAACCAATGAATTGTACAGCAAGACAGATTTAATATAATAATTAATCATTTCAACTTATCAAAGTAAATTTTTATTGATTACCAAGGCCTTAAAGATATAGTCTCTTAATTTTGCTTAGCTTTATAGAACTGCAACTTTATATTGAGAAAAATAAGAAAAAAAAAATCTTTAATTTGAATATATCCATCAGGACAGTGCAAATAAATTCAGAAAATCTCAGAAGCCAAGACAGGCAGATGAAAGTTGCATAGAAATTTAAATGCTTCCCATAATGCATTGGGGACATTTATCAATGACAAACAGTTTTGTAGTTCATATTTTTTTTTATACCCTTAGGAGAATGCAGAAGACAAAATGATCTTGGCAAAACTAGAAAGACCAATACAAAAAATGATGTGATACAATATATAATCATGATGATGAAACGTAGTGTGTTTTGGTGGTTGTAAAGCACAAGTTGGTTTAAAAACTGTGCTTTAAAAATAAGATAATCTTAATTTCTACCTGCTTTGCTGACAGAGCTGGTTATCTGTCTCATCAAAAACCTAAAAAGTGAGAGGACATTTCTGAAAAAAGGATGACATTGCAAATTGCCATTGGACACAGACATTGAATCGGTAGTGGCTGTCAAAATCATATCATGCTGCAGGTAGGCATAGGAAGTAAATATCAACAGTCCACTTAAAAATAGAATGGAAATGACCATGACAATATCGTGAGTGTTACAGCCTTGGCAAACAAAGGTAAAGTAGTGAGAGGTCTAGACAGTTGTACTTCCCATTATCTAAAAATACACCTGAGTAATACAGGCCAGGGCAGACTGGGATTCATCATAGCTCTTCATTCCAGTAACTAAACGAGGGGCGCTGGGGGACCGCTAAAGTTTTTGACACTACGGGGTACTAGAGACTATTCAATACCAATTCTCAGCACACCAGATGCATTATATAGGTCAATGCCGTTTGATATTATTTTTCGTTTAGTGATAACTAACATATACTTATCATTTCTCTTACTTCTAGAAACTGCACCCTACCCTAAAGGTGGATTGTTCATGACGATAAACACTTTTCTAAGTTGCAATCCCTTCAAAACACAAACATAAAATGTGAAAGCGGTTTGGCGCAGCTGGAACGGTTTAGTTTCCCAACCTCGAGTCGGGGTTTCAATCCTCGCTGTGCATTTCGCTTGTGTCCTTGAGCAAGGCACTTTATCTGCATTGCTTCTCTCCACCCAGGAGTATAAATGGGTACCTGGTGGGGTTGCCTGCTCCTGCACTGATTACCAGCAGCAACACTTAAAGCATGGAGATCCCAATAACCAGGAAAAAGAACTGCACTTTATAACCACAAGGAAGAGGCACATTATAAATGCCTATACAACTTCTAGTACACACACAAGATGCTCTACATAAACTAAGTCCCAATATGGGGCTTATGGGAGTGCAGTTTGATCATGAGAAAAAAAACCTTGTTTACCGCTAACACTTAGTACACGTCTCCTCCATGCCCACTTATACATCACCACATACTGTATTTCTCCTCCTCAAAAACAATAAATTTTTAAACTCAATTTAACGTTGTCATGAATTAGCCCAAACACCATTTTTTGTATTGCAGATCATATATATCCCAATAGGATCTATGTTTGTATGAAAATGTTGAGTTTCATTGAAGAAAATAGGCATTAAATAGTTATTTT